GTGGTGGTGTGTGTGTGTGTGTGTGTGTGGGTGTGTGTGGGTGTGTGTGTGTGTGTGTGTGGTGTGTGTGTGATGTGTGTGTGTGTGTGTGTGTGTGTGTGTGTGTGTGTGTGTGTGTGTGTGTGTGTGTGTGTGTGTGTGTGTGTGTGTGTGTATAAAGGCTACTGCGAAAAACGAATCATGAATCAAAGCTACTACTACGCCACCGCTTCGACTAGGGTTTCACCAAAACCTTCCCCTAAATGTAGGCTTCACAGGATGCAGGTAAACTTCTTGCTGATTTTCTCAGTTAAATTGAGGCAGGATACTACCAGATGCTACATAAGCTGTACTATATACATTGCACCCATGATCCATGGATTAACATATTTGCCACCACTGATATAAGGGACTTCCTTGGAGTACTCTTCTCAACTTTAAACGCACACTTTATTTGCACGATCGTTATCTTCTTATTGACTACAATGCAGTTTTGGGCTCCCGTTCGATGCAAAACGTAAACGTTCACGCCACAGTATCCCACCCGGACCAATTCCCGCCATGAACGTATTGTATAAGCATGCTTGAATTACTCGAACATCGACGATCATATTTCCTATTCCTAAAGTACGTGTGAAGTATCAGTTTTAATAGACGAATTTTCATGTACCTTGGAGTACGTAGATTCAGATATACACATTTATGTTGTACGTACAAGTGTATATATATATATATATATGTATCACATATAGTACACTTGTTTCCGTATACGCATACCAATCCCATCGCCGGGGCCTTCATCAGTGAATGAATGGCCACATTCACCACGCGCAGGCACATTGGGGTCGCAAACACCTGATGTGGTGAAGAAACAGCTACAGATTAGGTTCATCAATACCGAAGACTCGACTGGAATTTTTCACTCGCACGAAATAGGCCAAATTCGGATGCAACAAACTCCTTCATGATACGGTTTTTTTACCACCGAAAGAACACGCAACACAAGCTATATATATATATA